ACATAATAAAAGTACTTTATATATAAATGATAGTACATTGAAACATGATAAATGAATGATTGAATTAACGTAATAAGCTAGCGAATACTTTAACACAAGGACAATTGTTCTTACGTGGTATTAGCCATTCAAAATCAGGCCGCATTTTGATTTGATTCTATGATTCTGGCTATCGCGTTACGAGAATTAGAGTTCAGCGGAGCTGCTCTTCCCTTGAATTCTCTTAGTGACATACCAGCCGTAACAATATGTATACAAATATATATATACACATATGTACATATATATACATATATATACATATATATACATATATATACATATATATACATATATATACATATATACATATATATATACATATATATACATATATATGTATATATAAGTGTACGTCTATATATGTATACACATATATGTCTACGCGTACATGTGTGTACGCGTACCAGCAACTGGCCGGAAACCGACTCTGAGGGAGAGTCTGGACCCCCTAGGCGTTCTCCACAGTTTAAGGTTCCCTCTAACTCTGAAGGTTTCGACAATGCCTACCATCTGGTAAGAGCACTGGGAACTCAGAGAAAAATCTGTTTGTCAATCTAGGTTGCCAGGGCATGATCATTGTCCCTAAAGATCAAGCTACCCTGAATTTCCTGCAAGAAACGAAGGAGCTGAAAGATGGGAATCCCTGAATCCCGACGATAGGAGAGTCAAGATGGTGCTACTTGGTTTCTCGTTTTCGCATGATGTGGATATCACACCCACAGGTCGTGGGGCTTCCCGAATGTCGAGTGGGAAGACCCCTACCAGGCAAGTCCTGGTGACCCCGAAAGAATCCCAAATCACTACCCTTGATTTGGTTAACTGGGTTTCCAACAACCTCAGACCCTAAATGCCTGAACCACTGTGCTTCAAGTGCCAGAAATATGGCCACCACTAGCCTAGCTGCAAGGCCAATCCCAAATGTGGTGTCTGTAGCAAGGCACAAAACACCGAGGTGTGCCTTAGGGCACACAAGGAAGGACAAAGGGACACAACATCCAAATGTCCCAACTGTTATAAGACACATCAAGCCTGGAGCCGTTACTAATCATCTTCCACAACTTATTCTCAAAAAAATGTCAGCACTTGCAGACTAAAGCTATATAATACATTTCCTAAATATTACATATTAAGTAACTTTTATTCTGAAAAAAAAAACATTGCTGAAGCAACGTTACTAATGAACTTCCATAACTTATTCTCAAAAAAATGTCAGCACTTGAAGACTAAAGCTATATAATACATATGCTAAATGTTACATAGTAAGTGTAGTGAATTCCCCTTGGCTTCAGGCGGGTCCTCCCGCAGGCTTCCGGGCCGCTTGTTCCCCTGACGATTACGAATCTGTATAGATAATCTACGGACTCCTCCGCCCTGCAAGATGACGTGGTTTTCCTGTTTTTCCTGTGTTTGTTTGCCTTTGTCTTCATAAGAATAAACCTGTGTTTTTATACTCTTTGACTTACCTTTCATTGGTCCGTGATCTACATCTACATCTACCCTACTTCTACTTTACGTAACACTACTTGTACTTACCTTATGTTCCATACTTACCTTGTCTTATTCTTGCCTTTTTGCCTTCGACTAATTCACCTTAGTTCTGTTTCTCTCTTCGTGTTTTCCCGTTTTCCCTCACGGATCCCTTCTTTCACGTTTTCATACTTTCCTGTCTATTATTTCTTTCATGTGCCCATTTTTGTTTAGTTTTATTATTCTTTTTAATTTATGTATTTTAAAGATTATTTTAACTCGCCATACACTATTTAATAAATTAAACGAAAGGCATTATGGGTAAAACCTCACCAAGCGCGGGAAGCCACCAGCATAAAAGGACAAGCCAGGTCGGTCAGAGGGGGAGGCTTTTATATTGTGTGGTGACAGATCGTTGGATTTATAGCTGGCTGACTGGTGCTTCTCGTGCTGTGGCGGGATGCCTCTGTTTGTCAAGTAAGTGTATGGTGTGTTGTCATGTATATTGGTTATGTTCAGAAAGATTTGTGCGTAATAAATGTATAATATAGATGCTCTTTTTATGTTGCCTTTTTAGTCAGCCAGTGATGTTCTTTTTATTGTTCTTTTATTGTGACTACGGGATCACTTTCAAATCACCCGAGAGTCATCTCCGAAATACGCCAAACCCATTGGAGATTACCTGTAGTTGGGTAACACGCTACCAAATTAACATCTTTAACTCTACGGAGTTTTGATTATCCACTACAGTAAGTATGGACTTTTTTATTCAAGTAAAAAAAAATCTGCCGGAGGTCGCGGCTTAAATGTCAAGAAAAAAGACAATAAATTTGCTCCATAAAAATCGTTTCCTATCTCTAACTTTCTGTAAGCCCCCTTCCTCCCATGCACCCAGATAAACACAGCTTATGGGCGCGCCTCCAGCAGCGCACGGGCGGCCTCAGCGAGCGCCTGCGCGTCCTCCTGGCAACCCGAGAGGAAGGCCCGCGCCTTCGTGGCCAAGAGACTCCACTGGTCCCGCGCCTCGACGTTGGCCAAGAAGCCAGAGGAAAGTTTGGAATTTAGAGTGGAAGGCAAAAGGAGCTGATATTCAGTCAGGGTGCTGGGCCCTGGCTGTACACATCATGGCAGAAGCTATTCCTGTATGTCAAGGGCTGCGGTCCTAATAGCAGCTTGGTCAAATCCTTTTGGTTTTAGTACAAAAGTATCAATTCAATGGTATCGAAAGCACCTGCAAAAGTTTGCTATAACTGTAACTCACTTGTTAGTATAGTTAACCTTTGAACTAACTATGCTATGCTGGAGTTGAGTCTAACACTCGGTTCTTTCTATGAGTTCGCCGAGTGCCTCTCTGACAGGAAAGACAGAGAGCATGAGTAGTCCAGAAAACGAGACCCTTTATTGAATTAGAGACCGAAGCAGGAGCACATGCTCGTTCGCCAGGTGAACACTCTCCGTCGCAACCTGCTCCACACCAGTCCCTCTACCTCGACGGTGGGCACCAGTCGCCAGTTTCACTATCTGCCTCAGCATAAATACGCTGTATCCAGGGGACACGAATATGTAATATTTAGGATATGTATTATGCCTTTGAAGTGAACCAATACTTATTTCATTCTTGTGATTCTTACTATTTGTCTGTGATTACTTTTGTAAGTGATGTCAATATTGCCACACTGATTTCACAAGGAATTTCACACGGAATATTTTAGATTTGATAGGTCAGCTTGCGAGACCAGTATTATTTCAAAATGCAGGGAATAATTTGTGTGTTTTACGTGCAATAAAGATTTTTTCTTCTGTATTATCAGACACTGCACCCATAGCTTTAGTCTCCAAGTTTTTCCTGAATAACTTCAAGCTGGAAGTTGATATGTAACACTGCTGCAGCAGAAATGTTTATTGCTGAATAAAACTTATGATGTGAATAGTAATGTTTTTCAACCTAAATTCAAGGAACTGTCTCTTGGTTCAGTGATGCCTCAAACGCAATTACGTGTCATAATGACAGATTCTGATTGCTGCTGTGAATGTGCTTCCCTCAGTAAGCCTGCTTTCAGATTTCCCTCTTGAGAAAGGTTATCGAAGAGGGAATACATTCATTGGTCCCCGTGGTCTCGTGGTAGCACTTGTTGTCTGAACAGCCCATAGCAACAATTCGTATATATGTGTATATAATATATGTGTGTGTGAGATAGAAAAAATACACTGCACAAAGTAGATTTACTGAAAATGAGAAGAGTTTCGAAATCCTTCTGCATTTCAGCTTCTCTAGCCGGCCGCTGCGCCCGGCGGGAGTGTAGTGAACCTTATCTGATTCTAATTGTATAAATAAATAAACCTTACCATATGCCTTAAAAGCATCCCCAGCTGTTTGCGGGTCACGAGCTCGTTTTACTCTTCCCGCCAGGTATGACTCATTAAGGCGAGATAAAGCCCTTCATTTTAACGCTTCTAGCTCTTTTAATTTTATCTGCTCAGCTTTCCCTGTGAAAATCCTTTTATCCATGCATTTTATATTCAGTCCTTTTTATATACAGTATTTGTATTTTAATATTTATTCGCAAACAGTCGAGATGAAAACTACCTCGTTAAGGGCCTGTCAGACCATGCTTAGTTTATTTTCTCTTTTTTTGTCAACCTCCGCTGGCCTGACCTGACATGCAGGGGTCACAGAGGAATAGAAGAACAGTAGCCGGACATCTCCCTAGCTCTTGAGACACTGTTAATATGCGCAGGCAATGCTCCACTAAGCCAGAGATCCGAGGACGGAAGACTGCAACGGAGCATTGACCTGACATGTTAACCAGGGAGACGAAGGCACCCCCTTTTTTTTATTATTATTCTTGGTGACAAATGTGTATACGGCTCGCAGTGGAACACCGTGTAATATGTACAGATAAGTCTTGTGTTTTGTTTTTTAGAAATATCATCATCACATGTACAAACTGTTATATATTATCTATAAGCTGATTTTTTAAGTAAATGTTTAAATATGTTTTAGTTCTTTATGTTACCTTTTTTCTCCTTAAGGAATTGTGCCCAGGCTCCTTGTTGTTGTTGTTTTTTTGTGTTTGTATTTACGTACGGAGGTGTCACAAATACACAGTTAATACTATCATAGAAAATGAGGGCAATATTAAAGAAAATGGGGAAGCCTAGTGTTTAAAGACCCGTTGTGTTTTAATGTTAAAGTTAAATGTTTTATTTATTTAAAGTGTTCAGTTTTTACTTTATTTTAGTCTCTTAACTTTGTTTTTAGTCTTAGTTTTGATTTTGGTTTTATCATATTTATCCCTGGCCCACCGTGCCTTCGGAGGGTTTTTATCGCTCGGCCGCTCCGACACGATCATCCCCATTTATAATTACAAGCGTAGGTAGTTGACTCCCTCAGGGTCACTTCGACGCTTTCGTGAGGCTGCATTCACTACAGGAGAGCATAGTAAGTATGGACCTCAAGGAGATCCATCCATTTATATAAGAAGCTGAACTTAATCCTTTCTTTTTATTCAAGTAAAAAAAGACTGCCGGAGGTCTCCAGTGGCTCTCGGCGCCAACATTCACGCCGCGGTTCCACCTGCCTCGCCTGCTTCTGGGGCCAAATTCAGGTCGGAGATTGCCCGCCTTCGGGCCACTCTCCGACGGCGTCTGGGGAGCCGCGGGCGCCAGGCCACGGTCGCTCTCTGCCCGACTCTCTTCCTTCCCTCGCCGGCTGGACGGGATTTGTAGTCTGCTCTGTCTTGGGAATTCTGTTAGAGCTTGGGCATGTCAGCCTGCGAGGAATGTAAGCGAAGGCAACGGAAATGGGAGGTGGCCCTCGGACGCTGCGTCTTGACTGGAATCACGGCTTAAAAAAGACTATAAATTTGCTCCATAAAAATAGTTTCTTGTCTCTAACTTTCTGTAAGCCCCCTTCCTCCCATGCACCCAGATGAACACAGCTTATGGGCGCGCCTCCAGCAGCGCACGGGCGGCCTCAGCGAGCGCCTGCGCGTCCTACTGGCAGCCCGAGAGGAAGGCCCGCGCCTTCGTGGCCAAGAGACTCCACTTGTCCCGCGCCTCCGCGTGCCGCTTCTCCAGCAGGGCCAGCGCCAGGGCCGTCGCCCACGCCGCCTCCGTCTGCGGACAAGCACGGGAAGCTGAACGAGGGAACCATTTCCGTCAAAGCATACTTTTTTTCAGTCTTATCCGAAGGATATGCAAGTGCGTGTGTGCGCGTGCGCGCGCGAGTGTGTGTGTGTGTGTGTGTGTGTGTGTGTGTGTGTGTGTGTGTGTGTGTGTGTGCGTGCGTGCGTGCGTGCGTGCGCGTGTCCGAGCACTACTCCCCCCTGACGTGAAGAAGCACACCTCCCCAGCAAGAGGACCAAAGCAAGGGAAAGAGCGCGTCCCGCATGCCAGAGACAAACCGCCTTCGCCTTCCGTACCTTAGCTGGATTCCACTCCCCAAGCACGGCGCACGCAACGCCGCACAGCTCAGCCACGTCCTCGAGGAGCCAGGAGCCGTCGAACCTCTGCTTGCTCACGAGGGCCACCAGGGGGTCGCTGTCTGCACGCTGGAAGGGAGAGGAGGGATGAATGGTTGGGGGGGGGGGGGAGAGGGAGGAAGAATGAGGGGCTGGGGATTGGGAGAAGGGAGGGGGAGGGAGAGGGGAAGAGGCAGAAGAGGGGAAAGGGAGAAAGATGGATAAATAGGGAAAGGGAGAGGGAGAAGGAGGGGAGAGAGAGAGAGAAAGAGAAAGAGACAGAGAGAAAGAGGGTGACATAGAGAGAGAGAGAGAGAGAGAGAGAGAGAGAGAGAGAGAGAGAGAGAGAGAGAGAGAGAGAGAGAGAGAGAGAGAGAGAGAGAGAGAGAAGGAAGGGAAGGGCAAGGGAAAGGGGAGAGGGTGCGAAGAGGATAGACAAGGAGGGGAAGGGGAGAGGTAAGGAGAAAAAGAGAGAAGGAGGACGAGGAAGAGGGAGAGAGAGGTAAAAAAGCAAGAGGGGGAGAGCAGGATAGGTGAGAGAGAATGGGAGGAAAGGGGGGAAGGAGAGAGGGCCAGAGTGTGAGGCAGAGAGGGAAGAGAAGAGAGAGAATTACATATCAAAAACACCATATATCACTCAATACATAGCCAGTCATGCCTTAGGAGTCATGCCTTAGGAGAGCCATGAACATGATAACAGGTAATATAAATAAATACTCAAACAAGAATTCTGGTTCCCAGGATTAATATTTTGATTTCCTCTCCGTCAAGAAGTCTGTTACTATTCAACTATTCTGTGTATTACTGCAACTCATTTCCATGAAGTGCTGTTACCTCTGCGCTTAAGGCATCTTCGCTGATGTCGACACTGAGGAGCTCACTGTGCGAGGTGATCTGGGCAATTCTGTGAGCCCCTACCACGTGGGCCTTCACTTCATACGCGTACTGCTTACTCACAAACATGACGTTCTGCCCCTCTATCTTCTCTGCAAAATGACTTTCAGTTGCTTTAATGTATCACTCAGAACTAAAACAAAATTCCATGATGCTGGAGCATTTCTATCATTTGTGCCCACACTCAGCAAAAAAATCATGAATTTTAAGGCAGGGTATCTCTTCATGATGTTTATATTATGGCATTGTACCATCAACATTTAAAAGAAAAAATGTCTTGAGGCAAACTGACGCATTAAGTTTTATATATAAAAGCATGCCAATACACATACCCATATCACGAGAACAACCACCATCAGCAGGACTGTATCTTGGCTTTAGGAATGTCGGCAAAATGAAGCTCACTCCCCCGTCTGTCTGCACTTTCAGCTCCATTACCAGGCCTAGCTTCAGCTCTGCTTGGGTCCCTGTCAGTTACATATGATTTTTAGCTTACACATAAAGTATCTAAACTATACTGAACCCTTCTGTTCAAGGGTCACACAATATCACACATGTACAGGGGGAAGGCAGGTGCCAGGCCATAGCTGAAGGCCCGGCCGAAGGTAGAACTTCGCAAATCGCAATTGCAATTGGAAGGCAGGTCTGAGGCACTCTCAGTGTGTGGAACAGATGCGAGTTACCAGAATGTGATGTGTATGGGCACCAAGATAATGTCTGGCAGCCTCTACTTTTTGCCAGCCCTTCACTCAGTGCTTGAAGGCGACCCTGTGACTCCACTGACCAAGGTAAGTGAAAATGTGAGTGACCTTTTTACCTGTGCCTATATATGGTGTGTGTGTATATGTATATATATATATATATATATATATATATATATATATATATATATATATATATATATATATATATATGTGTATATATATATATATATATATATATATATATATATATATATTATATATATATATATATATATATATATATATATATATATATATATATATATATATGTATATATATATATATATATATATAAAACCACACAGTAAACAGTATGTGTATGTATATGTATATGTGTATATATACATATAGATAGATAGATATAGATGTAAATATATAGAAATATATAGATAAATATACATATATATATATACATATATACACATATATATACATATACACGTGAGTTTTAACACATGGAGTAAATCAATATATATATATATGTATATATATGTATATATATGTATATATATGTATAAATATGTATGTATATGTATGTATATATATATGTATGTATATATATATATATGTATGTATATATATATATATATATATATATATATATATATATATATATATATATATATATATATTTACATCTATATCTATCTATCTATGTGTGTGTATATATATACATATATATATATATATACATATATATACATATATATACATATATATACATATATATACATATATATATACATATATATACACATATACTGTTTAAGAAGAAAATTGTTTTAGAAGTGCTTATTAGATGCCATAGTATTTTTTTTTTCTCTCTATAAAATTGGACTGCTTTATTTTTGAGGGTTGTTGTATCCAGCAAATATAGGCCTAAACTTGAATCACACA